TGCGGTCTGAGCGGGGGCAGACCCCATACCGGCCGCTGCTGGCATACATGAACGAGGCCGCTATCAAGAAGTATGTGCAGCCATGGCAGCAGATATTAGCATTCATTGCGCGGACCCAGGCCCTGCATGATTGGGCCAGCCCCAAATATGGAATGACTGCACGGCAGCGTAAGAAATGGCGGCAGCTATGGCAGCTGGCGGGCCAGGCCCCCCAGAGCAGCCCCGATCCCATGGATACCGAGATGGACGACCCGCAGCGGGGTGTGTGGGCCATGACCAATATGGAAAAGGCATGCTTGGAGTTCTGTATTGAGTTACTAAACCAGCACCATCGCAGCCATGAATATGAGAGTGCATTGGTATGTGCCATGGCTGTGTTAGGCTAGGGGGAAACCAGCTGGCGGGACCCCGAGAGTTATCCACTGATATTATCCAAGGTCATCAAGATCGCACGGTTCATGGTGGTCTAGAAGGTATTATGGATGGATCCACACCCGTGGCAGATCATCTAGATGTGGGAGAAGAAGGACCAGAGCGCTGAATGGGTGTTAGCCAGCGCAGATGACATATTAGGGGATATTAATGAGGGGTATGATAGTGATGACGCCATTGCAACCTAATCATCACCCCCCATGTCATCCATCCAGAGTGACAACCTGTTACCTGCCATGGACATGCACCGGCACAGCTATTGACCATTCCAGGAGTAGGTGACATGGATGATGCACTAGTTTATGATTCGTGGCACCCATAGCCCTATAGAAACATTGCTAGATTAGCGTACATATGGGCTTAAGGTCTATTATAATCATACTGCCCCCGGCCATGTGACATAAATAGGGGAGGACCAGTTATTATACCAGCAGATGGCATTCACTATGGGTGATTTCCAGGGGTTCATCCATGGGTTAGTGACTGTAGCTAGGGAGATACTAGGCCATTTATGCATGCAGGATCATGCCCAGATGCCCCCCATTCCATGGTTAGTAATATATGATGATCCCAGCCAGAGCCAGGCCGGGTGGAACTTTTTGCAGGACGCACGGACCCAGTGGCCGGTGGATGGGACCCACTGGATGATCGACCGGCTGTGGGCCGAGCCGGCCATACAGCGGCATTTCATGTGAGGGGGCTGATTCCACCCCGCAGCCATCCAGCAGTATTGGCAGCGCGTGGCCCAGTTCAAGGAGAAGTTAGCCATTATAGTGCATGTCACCGCGGGGCAGCCGGCGCGGGCCCTAGAGTTATTAAGTATTCAGCACTGCAACACCGCGAATAGTAGGCGGCGTAATATATATATTAAGGATGGGATGGTGACATTTGTGACGGCATATCATAAGGGGTTCCACGCCAGTAATGATGTCAAGATTATCCATCGATATGTGCCGCGGGAGGTCGGGGAGTTGGTGGTGTGGTATATGTGGTTGGTGTTGCTGTTTATAGAGCAGTTAGCTGCATGGGAGGCAGCGCAGGCAGCGGCATCACAGACGAACCAGACGAACCAGAGCAACCAGAGCAACCAGAGCAACCAGAGCAACCAGACATCCCAGAGTAGGACCGTCGCCCACACGGCATGGTTATGGGGCCCTGATCCAGGCACCGGCCGTGAATGGTCATCCGAGCGGTTCCGGGAGGCTTTGAAATGAGAAACACGCACCTAATTAGGGACTGCCATCCACATTGCAGCATATCAGGACATCGCCATTGGCATCAGCCGCCGGTTTTTACGTCCATCCACTGCATTTCTAAATAATGTGTAAGAGGCCGACCACATACCAGCAGCCATGGATGCAGATGCTGAGGAGTTTATGGATGATGAGCAGTGGATTGGCCACATTGCTGACTTGCAGGCCGCCCATTCATCACATGTCGCAGGGATGGTGTATGGTTGAAGTATCCACGAACAAGCTGGCAGCACCAACCACCGGTGTGAGATGTTCCGGTTATCCAGTACTAACTGGCATCAGTTTTTGGGGTTTGCATCCGCAGCCACCGCACTATTAATATTAGGCAAGCGCAAACGAGCGCCATGGGAGGATGAAGCCGAGGTCAGTCGCATCGAGCGCTGCCACCAGCTGGCCACCATGGATATGGAAGCAGCCACGCAGTGAATGACTGGGCAGCCTACCATGTGGTTCCGGGGGGTGCAGGACCCGGCCATTCGGACCATCCAGTGAGGGGAGAGCCCCATAGTGGCGGTGATGCCCACAGGTAGTGGCAAGAGCATGTTGTTCATGGTGCCAGCATTCACCGCCCCTGGAGGCACCACCATTGTTATGGTCCCACTGGTTGCATTACGGGCTGATATGCAGCGCCGGTGCCAGCAGCTGGGGATTTCATGTGTTGCATGGGAGAGCCAGCAGCCCCCAGATGCCGCGTTGATCATGTTGGTGACGCCCGAATCCGCGGTCAGCCCCGATTTCCAGACGTTTTTAAACTGGTTGCAGTGGATGCGGCGGTTAGACCGCATTGTGATCAATGAATGCCATGTGGTGTTGAATTCCCAGCGTGATTTCTGGCCCCAGATGGCCTAGTTAGGGAAATTAGTGCAGGCACGCACCCAGATGGTATGG